ACATCGCCTTAATGTTAAAAATGTTGTCACCGCCGTTCTTGGTTGTGAATTTTCAAAATATTTGGAATTATTCAAATTTCGTGGCTGAAAACATACAAACGTATTGAATTCTCGAAATCGCGAGAGTTGTACGGAACTAAATTTGTTGAAACATCGATTGTATCATTCTTCGAACGACTTGTAGTCTACAACTATATTAAAATAATTTGAATGAGTTCGGCTACATTGGAAAACGCAATATAGACCAGACCCAACGACACAGACTGCATTGGAATCTAGCTTTGTACGAGAACAAAACGAATTGCTTCAGATGAACTGGAAAGCATTCGAATGAGGCAAACCCCGTTGGGAGATGCGTACATATTAAAACCCCTTGGCTGAAAAGCTTCGAGCACATGTGTCTGGGCCCGCGTTGAAATCTCGGTCTGTACGTGGCATAAGCGACGATCTAATCATAAATTATGTATGTGCTTGGGGATAACTGATCGTGTACAGTCTAAGTCCAGGTCTTGGGGTCCGGCTATAAATACCTCCACTGTGTGGTACAAGAGCTCTTCAAAGAAGTGGTCAACCGAAATAGCCACCAGATGCTTGGCGATCTGTTTTATTATCTGCTAATTAAAACGTTCTTATTATTTTAGCGGTGAGTGCTTCAAAGCCGTAATTGCGCCTTTTTAAAATGTGCCGTACATAATATACAACACACATGGGAAATTTATAAAAAGTATAAAAAGTTCACAGCCAACCGAGTTTAATGATCAAGGAAATGAAAAAGTTAAAAATATATACAGGGTGTTAATGAACTTATATATCAAATATTTTTGCCATATGTCCGTTGTGATGAGGTAAATACATGGATTTGTGTTGAGTAAAATGTAAGTTTAAGATCTGACTTACCTCAACATTGCAAAGAGTCACCTTTTGAGAAATGCTGATTTTCATAGATGTTCAATGTACCCACCATTTGCTTGCGCGCAAGCTTCAGCGCGACGTATCCAATTCGCTCGCACGCGTTGCTACATTGCCACGTTCTCCCGAATCGTATTACAAGCTTCGTCAATACGATGTCGTAATTGGTCGATATCACGAAGTTCCGTGGAATACACGACACTTTTCACATGTCCCCACAAAAAGAAGTATAAAGGGGTGAGGCCCAGGGACCGGGGGAGGCCATCTAACCAGGCTGCCGCGGCCTATCCAGCGATAGGGAAAAGTAATGTATAGAAAGTCGCGCACAGTATCCACATATTTTGCCGAACATTTAATGGCACGTCTTCCAGTAACTCCAACAAGCGATTTTGCAAAAAATCTAGATATGAAGCACCGTCTAAGCGTCTAGGCAATTCAAAAGGTCCTATTAAAGTGTCATTAACGATACCGGCCGACATGTTAACTGAAAACTGTTGCTGAAAGGCACCGCGACGTATTTCGTGTGGATTTTTGTCGCGTTACGTACACCATTTCGACTGAAACATGCTTCATATGGAACAAGTATTTGCGCTGTAAAGGAGTTGAAGATTTCCTGCATGTTGCTGAAGCAACCATCCGCAAAAACCTCGACGTAGTGGAAAACCCTCAGGAGTAAGCGCTAGAACACATTGAACATGACATGGGTACAACTGAGCTGATACTGCGATGCGGATCTTCTTCGACGAGATCTAAAATAATTTCCTTAACATTTGTCCAAAACTGCGTTACAGCAACAAATGTTCGCGGTACGGGGGCACGTGGTTCCGGATATATTGCACGGTACATTTGACAATCTCTGTGGGCATTTTCGTTTGCTTCGCCATATATTCGCAATTGCTAAATAAATGCGCCATTTTTAAAAGAAAACTTGGAAATAAGGTTATTAAATGTACTCTCGAAAAACAGCACAGCAATCACTACAACATTGTATTACAAACTGACTTTCGAATACAGTCCGGCCCCGATAAAATGCATGTATTTCAGCAGTTCCAGAACAGTTTTAATTTAATTAGCTCTTTTCTCAATGACCTTAAACTTCCGATACAAGTTTGTGACATCAGTTAACTAAGTTTTTGCTCCTTTTTCACCCCTTTAAATTTTTGACATCATAGGTTCATTAACGCCCTGTATACAAAGGATGTTTTTGAAATTACGTCCATCCTGACAAATGCATATTAGAAAACCTTCTTCAACTACATTTTTTAACGCTAGCAAAACGTATGTCGCAGCTAGTGATCAAACATCATGATTGGTACATTTCCCAGTGCAACACATATAAGGATATAATAGGTAAGAATTCTTGGAATTTCTCTAATGTAGCGCGCCAAATCTTGACCAAAATTAATGACAATAAATTTGCTAGGTCTGGAAGTATCGGGATCAAATGAAGATTTTATAACTATTTTATAGGTTCAGAAGTTATGCCAACAAAGTGAGGAGTTTCTAAGTTTTTAAAATGTAACGCTTCTCTTGCGACGTGGCATTGAACGAAACATAATGTAGTGTTTATATCATCGATATATACGTCTTGATCCATGTACTTTGATATTATGAATACGCTGCACTACGCTTTATTCAATGTCACACAACAGGAGAAACGCTACTTCTCAAAAGCTCACGAAATTCATGCTTACAATTCTTGAACAAGAAATTGAACCCTGGCCAATTTTGGCTAGGGCATGCACTTTGATGTTGTGAATCTCCTACACTTCGCATTGTTTATCATCATATACGACAATTATAAACATACGATCGAGAAAAAATAAGTTCAGTACTCACCAAACTGTCATAATCTTCCAAGTCGCCGTCTTCTAGATCCCCGTAAGTCTCAAACAAGCCATTCTCTGTAGTCGTGGTGGTCGTAGTAGTCGTCGTCGGCCTAAGCTTGGTCCATCCCTTATGCCTGATCCTAGAAAACAGAGTCTTCGTCCCCCAGGGCTCTGCATCGTTATTCATGTTTTCGATGCGAGTCTTGACCTTCTCTAAATTTGGGTACCTAGATTTGCTCACTTTGTAATTGTAACTAGAACTACTCACTGCATATTTCGAGGGATACCTGTCACTGCGCTTAATGTAATCCAATTGCGATTGGTACGTGGTGGATGCCACTGCAGAACAAAAGTAAAAACACAGCACTAACTTTGAGAATTCGATCCACATTTTTAATTGTTCTCTGTTTATATGGTTTTTATGGATTCGGTACGGTCCATGTTTATTTAATCTAGTGAACGTTGAACTTGGGGTATTTTACGATGTTTAGTTTCAATTAAGACCTACAAAACACAATGTCACATTTAGATTGGTCTGCGAGGTGTTAAATGGGTGCTATTTGGAGAGGAGAAAGTTGCTGTCCCTCGTGGCATATCTATATTAGGAATCTCAGAATTTTGTAAACAAAATATCTTTTTATATAATATGCTTATTGATGTAAATATATCAGCGAAATTCATCTATGGCAGTTCTGCATTATTAGTCCTACAGTCAATATTATCAATAGTTCAAGGTGTTTGGAGAATACAAACTATAAACTCCAAGGTACTTAAATATTTAAGTAACTTCACATGCAAATATACTTAAGTAACATAATTACAGGTAAGTAAAACACGATTTAAGTGGAATACGGTATTTTATACAAACATCAAGGCCAATTTTGTAAGTTAATGTTCAAGATATGTACAGATATGTCAATATCGAATAAAATAGGTGATGAAATACAGTTTTCAATAAAGTCGCTCAGGTATCGACAAATGTGCCATATTTTAAGTACATCTAAAAAAATATTTAGTCAAAGTAATCATAAATTATGGCAAAATTTCTAAGAAATATGAATAAAACTGAACAGCTTTAAAATCACATTTAAAAACATATGTGACAAAGTTTTATCTGGATTTCCTACTATTTTCAGAAAATAGTTGTTTGAGAACAAAAGCAGATTACTGATTTTAAGGATGGAGGAAAATGTGTTTTAGTACTTGAAAACTGTTTAGAATCACTGTTTTGCAGTTATACAGGGTTAGTCAAAAGTTTGGAAACCCCTAAAAATCTCAGCGGGAAAGCATTTTTGGAATAAATAGTGAGGACAAAGGTCTCAGGATTTTTCACGGTGCATCCGATGGTAACGTTGACCTTGACGTCAAGTCAAGGTTCAAGGTCATATCAAGATCAAGACGGTTTTTTTAAATGGCGACCCTCATTTTCGATCCAGGAAATGGAAGGAACAGAAAATTCTGCATCCGAATATGACATTGATCGTGACCTCAGTTCAAGGTTGAGTAGATTACTTAATGGTCACTACTCCGTAGTGACCTTGATCTTCGATTTTGCCATGAATGGCCGAATCATCCCCACTCTTGCCTTCAGTGGCCGGATTATTTCCTACTCTCGCCTTCAATAGTCGTATTATCTTTCAGTTTTAAGGTTAGGATTTCATAGGCTAACTCGATTATCTGCGACCACTACAAAATTGTGTATCCATTATATTCCATCGTCGGAAATAAAAAATGATAGCTGGAATAATCACTTGATCTTGACTACTGACGTTAAGCTCACGTTTAAGGTCATAATAACATGTAGAATTCCACCTTTTCTATTTCTAGCGTCGCAATAAGGGGTGGGCTACGCTAAAAACCGATATGACCTTGACATGTTCTTTCGATCTTGACCTCAAGTTGAAAGTCACAATGGAGTACCATCAGGTATCTACTCAAAGATTGTCACTGCATCTGATTTCGTAGTTAAAAATCATTAAAAATCTACATTTGACCTTGTATTGACCTTAACCATTGACCGTGAGATCACGATCAATATAATAATCGGATGCAGAGTTTTCTGCCCTTTCCGTTTACGGGGTCAAAATGGAGGGTCGCTATGACAAAAAACGACTTGATCTTGATATGACCTTGAACCTTAACCTCAAGGTCAAGGTTACCATCGGATGCGCCATGAAAAATACTAAGACATTTGTCCTCACCATTTATCTAAAAAATGCTTTCCCGCTGAGATATTTGGGGGCTTCCATACTTTTCTCTAACCCTGTATAAAAAAATATTGGTTCGTGGTATCATATTAGCACTGGATGAATTATGAAGGCTAAGATAGTTTAAAATGATTTATTTTGATGCAAGATATTGTGTTGTCTACGTATTTTAAGAGCCTCAAAATATACAAGGTGTCTCGGATTTTAACCACAAAAATTCAGAAGAATAACCTCTTTACTGTATAAACTAATTTATAACTGCATTTAACTAAACTTATTATCTTTATAAATTATTAATTTGTACCAAAGCAGTAAATAAATGTTATGCAACAAAGTCACAAGATCATTTTTGTTCAAAATAAAATTATTGTTTCAAAAATAGTAAACAAATATTAATTTTTCCACCGGCTTGCCACAATTTTTGAGAAAAATGCGACCAGCATACTTCACTTCTACTACTGATTTGAGTTAACTATTTATTTTACAATACAATATCTTTATTTGTTGAGAAAGTAATAGGTACTTAAAAGTATAATTTTGTTTTTGAAAACACTAACGCCCTTTATCTCAAAAATGGTGGAGTTTCTATAACAAATTTAAACACTAATGTGCTATTATTTTTAATTCCTCTATCGATTCCTGCATTTTCAATACTCTTGTATTTTTAAATGTATCTATATTTATTATGTTCTTCTGTACAGAACTAACATCTTTAAAAATTGACATGAATGTTTGATTATAGTCAATAGAAAAACAAACCATTCTCCGAAAATATATTTGCTCATACCAATTTATGAAAATTTAACAGTCTATAAAATTTGGCAATAGTAGGATTTATTCAGTATGTTCTCCTAACATATACATACACATACTAGTAAGGAATATTTGTTTTTATAAGATGAGAATTAAGAGGCTACCTAGAGAAACACAAGGTATGGTGTTAATAACGATACATTCTCCTTCGCTCGCCACTCCATAAAAAGCCAATTACCAACCTGTTAACGTATTTGCAAACTCGTTAAATTTATAATTAATAATAATAAACCCGGCGATGAACAATAAACACGATTTTATTACAGCCCGCATCGCCTAGAGACTACACAAGTGTTGCTGATACATTTAAACCAAGTATGTATAATATCGATAAGATACCGCGCCATGTCTCTTCTTAAACGTTGTTTATGTAATTTTATATTTGTTAATGATGTGTACAAATTATGTAATGCAGCATTACCCAATACATAAGTAAATTAAACGAATGTTGAACTGTGAAATCAAATTAATGTGGCGCATTCCATCTTCCCCGGGAAGATAATAGAAGAGCGTTCTATTCCTGGACAGAAAAAGAAGTTAGTTTACTGGGACTTACGCAATAAATCTACTTTGAATTATGTATTATTCCTACGTAGAGGGAAGGTCAGGTTGACATTTAAACAATGCGTTTTTGGCACTTAGTGTTGATGTTGATAAACATTACGCCTGGCAGTATTTTTTTCAACACCCCGTATACCAGGTTTTACTCAATCAAGAAAAAATTTTAATTGAATTTGAATGTAGTAAGCCAAGAATATCTGAAAAGGTTACCAATTTCGTAATGCTGTATCTACTAATCAGCTATAATTTGTTGAGTGGAAACAGAAGCGACACCAATTTTTCTTTCAATTTTGATAACTGTTAATTGTTAGTTTTCAAGTGAACGGGCATTCTTCAATATGTGTTTCAAGACAGCCAAGATATTCGCGTTTATTAAAAATATAACCTTACAGAAATACAGCAGGTAGTTAAAGAAAATATTCCTTGTACAATAGGAATTATGAAGTAGCACAATAAAACGTATACGTTATATCAAACCAGTATCCGGAAGTTGGTAGTATACTGTACTTTCATGGGTCTGACAATTGAATACATAGGTACTTCACAAACTTGATCGTGTTTGATTTTTCTGCTAAATAAGCTAACAGATCATCTTCAATTAGGTACTTCCATTATTTTTTCTTTTCGCAAAATTTTTCCAATGGAATGTGATCGTCACTTTGTTTTTAAATGCAAGTTTTGATGTAACAGCTGGGTAAAGTTATTTTACTGACTTCTATGTTACTTTACCGAGCTTTAACTTCCTTTCCGATCTAGATCGTAAACAGTTTTCTAGTATGGCAGCACAAAAAATATATGTCCAAGATAAGACCAGATATACTATGGTTAAAAAAAATAAATTTAGTCAATTTTTTTGCCTTTAAGATATAATAGTTTTATATCATATGCATAGAATCGCTCTTTCTAATAAGGAAAAGGTATTAATTCTCCAATATAGAGCATTTCAGTACATTTAAGGTCGAAGAATTATACTTTTACGCAACAAACAAAGTACCAAGTACCGAAAATCTTTTAAAATATATTTCACATTGGAAAAACTATATAGCCATTGCCGTAGACACAAAAAAAATTTATTTTCTAACATTAAGGTAGTACATTACTTTCAGATACTGATTAATAAACTTCTATATAGTTTAAAACATTTCAAATTTATTGAAAAAATGTTGTGATGTATATCATAGATAAGTTGATTTAAATTAGATATTGATTTATTTTTGCTTGCTCGTTCAAATAAATCATTCCTACTAATTCGTATCCAATGTAATCGCCGTTTAACTCCGACGCTATTACCACTTATAGAAAGCTGCAATCTTGCGATGCTTTTTCATTTAACATATGGTTATACATTTTCAATATACATTAAATGAAACGTAAACGAGCCCTAAAGGAACTCTCTATCAACGACTTCCCAAGTTTTTAGTTCCGTGGCCTATATTCGGTTTTGTGAACTTAATGTTTATGTCAGTGTTTTAGCATCACTTTCGCAATGGCTCCTATTAATAAATATAATGAAACTGACTATCCCAGCATCTAATTTATATGTAAACGATTTATCTGTAATGCGTATTATCTGAAAAGCAAAATTTGTGAAGGTGAAATTGCGAAGAATGGAAAACTAGTATATGAACGTTCGTTAGTTAACTTTAATTAAGTAATTAGCAAATTAATTTTCTATCCTCACTCCTTTGAAATTACAAAATTTCATGCTACTTAACTTAATGTCATATATTATATAGTAGCACAGAATGTCACAATATCAGTTGTACGGTTACGGTTTTTGAGAAAATTTGAAAAATGAACTTTTTATTTCATCTTGTAATCATTTCATTATTATATACGACGACTGAAGTTTATCTGTCCTTAAAATATTACACTCTTATAGCCAAATAGCTTCTTCGGATAATCCAGTGCATACTCTGGAAA